GTTAACAAATAAATGTAATGAAGTAAAAAATAAAATTTTTACCTCTAAAATGTGGTGAAGTCAAACTACTGAGTACCAGAAAAGGAAAACACTCAAGTAAAGTACAGATAGCTCAAATTTGTACTTAAGTGCAGTGCTTGGGTAAATGTACTTGGTTACTTTCTGTCACGGCTGGTAGACAAAGTTAGTGGCTAGCTGGTAGAGACCAAATCAGAGCTAAAGGGAAAATTAATATTGGGCTTAGAATTCTCAGGTGGCCACAAACCTGACACCAAATGAATGATAATTATGCCCCATGTCTGAACTGGCAAATGTTTGCAAACACATCAAGCCATGACAACTTAATAATGCCATATTATGCTAACTGTGTGTGATGTTCAGCTTGCTGTGGAGCTTCGTGCCTAAGGAGGATTTAGCCATGTCATTTTTATTTATATAGCCCAATATCACAAATCACAAATTTATTGCTTGGATTTGCTGTTGGGTTATGGTAAGTAAATATTTTTGGGTTCAAGAATGTTGATCAGACAAAAGACATTTAATGATGTCAACTTGTGCTTTTGAATAAGGTGTTTGGCATTTGTCAGTGAGTTCTGATGTCTTTTTTTGACTAAACAATTAATGAAATGAACTGTGTAAATAATCATGGGGTGAAATATTAAGGACTCGGATCTTAAACTGCACTTGCCTTCTCATATAGAAAAGGCAGTTTATTGTTTTGTTCTTCACCCATTGAACCACTAGGTGGATTCAGCTGAATTAACCTGGACTGGAGTTTTCAGTAGCAAAGATGTAGAAGCTTTGTCTTTACTGAGTTTGCCTAATAGGTTGAGCTGCTTAAAGACATTAGGTAGCAGTATAGCTGAGGCTGTTTCTTCACTGTCTTCCTCTCACTCCACTCCTTCTCAATGCAATCTTGTTATAAGGACAGTTGGAGACTTGCCCTCCAACAGTGAGGGGGTCCGGCTCTCATAGCTGAAGAAAAAAAGCAATTTAGTGACAGAGCTCCCTTGAGAACTCGCACATCAAAGCGGCAGTGGTGGCTGGGCAGGAGGAGGTGGGGGCTAAGCCAGAGCCTGCCTGGCTTTGCCTGCAAGGTGAGGAGGAGAAAAAAAATCAGTGTTGTCCAAGAATACAGCAAGATCTCAAAGGACAGCAGCTGCTTGTTATCACAGGATACTTCTGGCAGTTTGACATCTCATCCATGCTTGTGGGTGCAGTAGAAGATGAAGCCTAGGGAGGGACTGGACATCGGTCAGGGAGGCTTTGTGACATGCATTCAAAATTTCTTTATATGTGGGTTGTCTGTAGATCTGACCTGGCTTTTGACCTGTTTATTGTTGGGTTTTTTCTTTTGAGACTCAACAGCAGCTCTGTCCTGGTCACTTACTTTTGAATACCAGCTGTATAATGGGCTGAAAATTGCAGAAACTACACTCAATGTAATTGTGTCATTTCCCATTTTGCACTATTTAAATTCTGTAAATAGCTGCACTTAGAGGGAGGTTTTTCATTCAACAGCAAAAAGATTCTCTGGTTTGTTATCAGCACAGTAACTGCACCAATTACTTTCTGGAATGTTTCTTATTCTTGATGAAAATGAGTTCACGTATCACCCGTTAATGAAAGACCTCCGTGATATTTTTCTCTGATACATGGATTTTGTCTGTACTTGGAAAGAAAAAGCAAATGGTTAATCTTTGTGTTTAAATGAATGCTAGTTTTGTTTGTGGAACAGTGTTTGCATTTCTGACATTTTGGATGAAAAAGAGCAGGTGAAGATAGAGGATGAGGAGAAGAAGTAGAGGTGAAGATTGAGGTTGAGGAAGGGGAAATGAGGACAGAAACAAAATGAGATGAGAGAGAATGATGGGAGAGTTGAAAGAAGCCAGTTCTCACTCTAGGGAAGGTCAGCAGGATTTGGCTCTGCATCTGCTTTTGGGCCTGGATATTGTGTATGTATGTATGTGTGCGTGCTGATGCTCTATGTGTCCTGCATATCAGTGTGTGAGCATTACAGCCACCTCTCCACTTTAAGCATTCCCTCGGTTGCCATTATGGCCTAATAACTGTGTCAGTATGATTAATGACAGGAGGCAGGACTCCGATTGCATGCTACAGCACTTAGGCAACTACACTACCCACGATCCCGCTGTCTGTGCTCATCTGCCCTGGCCATCTCGAGCTTCACTGCCTAGCACGCTGTGCTTGATATTAAGGTTATTTGTGCAAATAGTATGCATTCACACTCCCGCTGGCAGCATAAAAAAGTTGATCCAAG